AAGTCCTCTATACTTTCAGTCCTGCCAGACTGCAAATTGATGAAAACCAGCTCTGCGTTTTCAATTCTGTAGTTATAAAATCATAATTGTTCAATTGTGTCTAAATTTTCAGTAATGCTAAAATTGAAAGTAAAAATATCATTCATTGCTTTGCTGATCGGTAAATGGTTATTGATGTTTTAGCCTTAATTTGTCCATTATGGATGGGCTTCACTTGCATTGAGATTAAGTGTTTCTACCTGTCCTTATTTGGTAATAATAGTCCTTACTTCAGTTGCAGTGGCCTTCCTTGTTTAGTAAAATGTCGTTCCTAACAGTGAAATGGATTGAAAAACAAAAAATATGTTGCGGTTAATATTGTTAGCTAGTAAACTACATAACACAACCTTTTAGCAGTTAAAATGTTTATAAGTAAATTGAATGAACATTTTTGGCCATGTATACAGCCATATTCGGATTCTACAAATCAAATTGATATGAAACATTATCAAACAATGTAGCTATATATATAGTACTAGGTAGATATTGTTTCATATCTACCTAGTGTTTCTCAGCTATATCACAGAAAAGCTTATGAAAAGAGCTTTTCTGAGAAATTTTGAAAGATATTCCTTGAAAACTTTTTAATAAACTAGGTACTACTGCACCAAATGTTTCCATGTAATTTTTTTTAATCGTTGTTCTGAAAGAGGGCACACCTAATTGTGATTGACCAGTGTAAGGAGTAGAAAATACTTTAATCAGATGAAAATAAAACATTAGAGGACAATTGCTCCAGTATGAGGACCCAAAGAAAATTATAAAGAAGGCCATGACCGCACCAGGCTATTATGCCAGTGACGGTGGTGATACATATAAAATGAATTTTAAAATTTAATAAAAATGTTAATCATGTTAATTTATATATCTAAATTAATTTATTATATCACTAAAGCATTAAAATTTATTTAACAATTTTATATAGTAATTTTATCTAATGAATGTTAATTTGAATTTAGTGATGACGGTGCCTTAAGGAGAGCTTTCAACGAATATTTACAGAAAAGATCTGCCTCTAAACAGTTGTCTAAAATTTCAGTTGTAAATACTTCACATTGGAAGTTTCCTGCAAAACAGAAACCTACTCGTAAAACATCAACGTTACTATCGACTGCCGACAAATCATCTCATACTTCAAGAGCATATTCAAGTACACAAGCTCGAGATTCATCAAGTGCTCCACATTCATTAAGAAGAAGGAAAGAAAAAAAATTAGATGAATATCTCCAACGGATATATCAAGAAAATTTATATCATTTATTTGAAAAGCATTTCGATTCTAAGGTAAGTGCTTCAGGCTATACACTCAGTAAGGACTGCAAAGATGAATTTAAGAGAAATGTAGAAGAAAAGACATCAGATTATTACTAATAATCTGGCTAAAAAGTATTTGTTTCAAGAAAAGTAAGTTCAAGTTTGTATTAGTAATCTGGTCTTTTCTTTCCTTCCACATTCCTTTCATAAAATTTTCATTAAGTCCAACTCCATTCGAGATATGACATGTGATCCCTCATATCCACATATCCACCCACTTCCTCGAGGAGTCCTGTTTTATGACATGTGATCCCTCATATCCACATATCCACCCACTTCCTCGAGGAGTGCAAAATATAACAGCATCGATATCTCTTATATACAAGTTATCATGCCAAATTTCATTTCTTTATCTTTACTGCATCCTGAGATATAAAGCAAAATAGAGGCCAATATACTCACACAACCAGAAAATTTTTACTTTTGGGTTCAGGGAATCTCAGAAAAATTTGACATGATTACAATACTATTGTTAGTGTATAGTTTTATACATGATATAATAACATGTTCCTAGAATATATCTTAATACAAAAATATTTAATAATTTAATTAATGAACATTGTGTAATAAAGAAGTACATTTAATTTTAGGAAGCCGAGGAGCTTGCTTCAATTCTGGAATTACCAAAGCCAGATAGTCTTCCTAAAAGTGTTGAGAAACAAAAATCTGGCGATGTATCCAATAAATATCAAATAAAACCTTTATTTGAAGTGGAAGTGAAAAAATAAATTAATATTTAATTTATAATTAATAATTTCATAACATATGGCAATAAAATTTCTAAAAATTTATTTTAATAGCTAAGAAGTTGGGTGAGATTTGTGAGTCAGATTTTCAATGTTCCCTTAAAGATACTGATAGTCATTGTGCACTATCTTATGATGAAATTCACATTGTCATTAAAAAATGCATATGCAAGAAAAATTTTTACATAGAAATCATTAATGGAACAGAAAAATGCATCTCCGGTAAGTAATAAAATTTAATTTATTATTTAAAATATTAAGAAAAGTTTTAAGTCAGAGAATATCTTATTTACAGTTTTTGCTCTGTAAATTATATATAACAGCAACTGATTCCTCTCAAGATATCAAAGAAGGTGTTGCTGCTGCGCCAGTTATATTATTTTTCATGGCATGTGTCATAATTGAAGCACTATGTTTATTAGCTTTTCGTTGTTGGAAAAAACACCATCAGTAAGCATTTTTTAGATAATCTGAATTATTGTATAATTCATCCTATTGCATATTCTTTCTTGCTTAATAAATTTATAGAATTAATTCCAGAGCTGCTGAGCAACCATCATCATCATTTGAAATACATCAGTTAAACATTACTACAGTTCCTTCACCAACTTCACCTTTTGGTTCCATTGTCATCAGTTTACCAGATGTGCAAACTTTAGGTTTGTTCTTATTTTATATATAGAATAACTACTAGTTTTATTTTATATTCTGTTTTAATATTTATGCTGAATTTAAAATGGTTTTTATGTTTTATAAAGAGAGATGACATAATTTATAATATTTCAAAACAGCTAGTACTACGACTTTGGTTTTTAGTGATTATAAAATTGAAATCTAAGTTCAGCCTACACTGTTAGAACCAGAAACTTTGTCCATTCAATACAAATACCCACTAAAATTTGCCTTATATTGGGTTGTTTGGAAAGTAAGTTCGTTTTTTTCCATGAAAAAAAACACAATATTTTTATAATAAATAAATATTTTATTGAATTATATATCGACCATTTTGGTCAAATACCTGTTGTCATTGTTTCTGGTAATAGCATAATTTCACATTCATAAAAGTTTTTTCGTTGCTTACAAAAAACTGATCCGAGTGATTTTTGACATTGTCATTTCAAATAAATGTCTTACAGTAAAAAAAATTTGTATAGACCAGAACAAGTAATAATCTGAGTGTGCTCGATCTGGCAAATATGGTTGGTGTGATAGCACATCCCATCTAAGTTATAACAGTTTCTGACGAGTTACCAAACTTGTGTGAAATTTGACATTATCGTGGTAAAACACTACACCTGTTTTGTTGATCAATTCTGGCGGCCTTTTCTGTTTGATGATATTACTCAATTTGTTTACTCGATGGCAGTACACTTTCAAATCAATTGTTAAATTGTCTGGTAAAAGCTCCAAAAAAATATTTCCTTAAAATCCTACCAAAGAGATTGTCTCTCTTTAAGAATATGTGAAACCCATATATCAAGCTTTGAAATGAAACCAATTTGTTTCAAGTAATCATAAACAGTTCAATTTGACAAATTTAATCTCTTAGTGATTTCACGTGTTGTTATTCGGCAGTTTGCTTCAATCAGTGCCTTTATTTTGTTTTCATTGGCTTCAACTGGCCATCCAGAATGTGGTGCACCTTCAACATTGAAATTGCCAGAACGAAATTTTTTAAACCAGTTTTAGCACTGTTGTTCTGTCAACACATCTTCTCCATACATGTACCTCAATTTTTTCCTTGCTTAAACAGCATTTTGATTTTTTGGTAATAAAAAAGCAAAATATGCTGAAAATGATGCTTTTGATCTTCCATGTTTGATGGGACACAAAAAATAAACAATTGCACAAGCTAATTACAAACTCAAAGAACATTGCTCAAATAACCAGGCAGAGAGCCTGGCCATTCTCAGGGCTCTCCATTACATAAAAGACAATCCAAGACTACACAATAAGACAATCAATATATTCAGTGACAGCAAAACAGCACTTGCTCAATTCAAACGGTTACGAACAAGACTGTATATTGTTCAAGAATCTATCAATCTTCTCGAAACACTCCAAAACAAAGGAGCGATGATTCACTTACACTGGGTTAAGGGACATTCAGGAGTTAGTGGAAATGAGCGGGCAGATCTGTTGGCTAAACGGGCCGCAAGGTTGGACATGCCCATCTCACTAAGCTCTCTTTCGACAAGCCTCATTAAAGCCAAGTTAAACAACACCATAATGCAACTTTGGCAACACCGGTGGGAATCAGAGGATACAGGCCGACATGCCTTCGAGTTTCTACCGAGTGTTATGGACAGACAAAGTATGAACTTCTACCAGCCCAACTTCGCCACCTCACAATTCATAATTGGCCATGGAAACTTTCGAGCATATCTGAAACGATTTCTTAATAAAGAAGACTCAAAATGCCTCTGCTGTATGGATGAGGACCAAAACGCAAAGCACATAATTTTCTTGTGTCCAAAATATAAAGTAGAAAGAAGGCTTCTGGCAGGCACTCTGGCTGATGTTGGCTTTCACTGGCCTTGCCCGATGAAAGATTTCCTTACCAATCATAGGACCCTCCAGGCTTTCGAAACCTTCATCAGGGCGACAGACATCTTGAAGTCCGTTAGTTAAGCGACCCTCCTGGTAACATTCAACTCGGGCTTGCATTTGTGAAGGTCTGCTCTGGGATTATGCGTCTGCGGCTGCTCCTAATTTTGTCTGTGCCTCAAGGTGTTGCATGGTAGGCTTGTAATGTTTCACAAGCATAAATTGTGGCACCGTTCTTTGTTCTTTGTTTCAAAATGGTTGGTGTCTTAACAGAGCTTTGGTCATGTACCACTGGACCTGAAGGAACAATGTCATTGTCTCTGGTCCCTTTACCAAAGTTTGTCGCTCGCGTTTTTGTAACCTCCAAGGTTATGGAGGTTCTCTCCCCCTTGATAGGGGTTGTACATACGCGTTAGTTTGTGTGCAGGCCCTTTGGCAAGGTAGCCATTAAGTGTCATTTTACCCGGTTTGGGGCTACCCGGTTTGGGTTACCCGATTTTTTTTGTACAAACGGTTGTTTTCTTTTGTTCCCTCCCATGGAGGATTTGTCTATACCCCATTTGGGTTGTACGTTCGCGCGTGATTGTTTGTTGAGCTCCAAGGCAAGTCAGCCGTAATGGGGCTCCTACTGCCTCAAAACAGGGGCAGTTATACTGTATTCCACTGTATTTTGGCTATTTGTACTTTTGTGTTTAATAAATGGCACTTGGCTGGTGCTCTGAGATGTCATATTTCACTCTTTCCTATCTACCCTTTTTCTTCTCTTCACTCTCCTCACTTCTACAACTCTTCATCTTTCCTTTTCCAAGGCTATACCTATTGGTGGTGGCCTTCTAATCCTTTAGTAAATGAAATGAAAATGAAATTGCACAAAATTAAACAAAATTTTTTACAAATAAGCCTTAAAATGCTAGCTGTCAAAATATATATAGATAATATGGTGTAGAGTGAAAATGGCAGGAAAAATACGATTAATCTGTCTAGTGGTAAAAAAAACGAACTTACTTTCCGAACAACCTAATATTTTATCATTATTAACTATTTCATTGGGCTGCAATTTGAAAAAATTGTAGACCTATAAATTTCCACTGTCATCTGTCTGTCTTTCCTTAATCTTGAGAATGGAGTTGAATAGATGAAAGCAGAGACCAGATATGGAAAGGGCAGGAGACCTTTAAGCTTTCCATTGGTCTCGGCTGGATGCAAATTTCCAATGCAAATGGAACGTTGTGTTATTTCATTTCAAAAATTTTTCCTGAAAGGAGTTAGATAGATGACTGGCATGACTCCATTGCTAAAGGAAAGTATGATATACAGGGGCAAGACACTACTAATTTGAAAGTGAAGAGCATATATTTTAAATTAAAAAAAATATGATTAAAAATTGCAGCCTGGCATTGTGACAATGTCACAATAAATATTTATTCATTACTGTTATCTTTTAAGACTATAACATTTTTTAGGGTTTATCATAAGTGGAGACCAATTTTTAGATTTTAGTTTTTTTTTAAATTAAAATACAATACTTAACTATTTTTATAATAAAATTCTTATTCAAATTTACAGCCTATAAATAAATATGCATTTCAGCATCATGCCACCATCAGTTTATGTTTTTAAGGCTGTTCTATTATACAAACTAATGTATAATAGTAACAAAATAATTAATAATGGTAAACAGAAGGGTTAGAAGCATGAAATTTAATTTAACATATATTTTAGTAAAACAGATATTTAAATAATCACTACACAGTTTTGTCTTGTGAAAATGTGTGATAAAAATGGAAAATAGAAATAGTCAAAGAATCATCAAAATCATAGAACTGTTTTTATATGATAATTAGAAAATAATGAATGATTAGAAATACAGTAGAGCATTGTTTATCTGAATCAATTGGGGACTGGGGATGTTCGGATAACTTTTTTTCGGATAACCGATTATGTACGAAAAAATACATTAACCTNTCGCGTTTTTGTAACCTCCAAGGTTATGGAGGTTCTCTCCCCCTTGATAGGGGTTGTACATACGCGTTAGTTTGTGTGCAGGCCCTTTGGCAAGGTAGCCGTTAAGGGTCATTTTACCCGGTTTGGGTTACCCGTTTTTTTTTGTACAAACGGTTGTTTTCTTTTGTTCCCTCCCATGGAGGATTTGTCTATACCCCATTTGGGTTGTACGTTCGCGCGTGATTGTTTGTTGAGCTCCAAGGCAAGTCAGCCGTAATGGGGCTCCTACTGCCTCAAAACAGGGGCAGTTATACTGTATTCCACTGTATTTTGGCTATTTGTACTTTTGTGTTTAATAAATGGCACTCGGCAGGTGCTCTGAGATGTCATATTTCACTCTTTCCTATCTACCCTTTTTCTTCTCTTCACTCTTCTCACTTCTTCTACAACTCTTCATCTTTCCTTTTCCAAGGCTATACCTATTGGTGGTGGCCTTCTAATCCTTTAGTAAATGAAATGAAAATGAAATTGCACAAAATCAAACAAAATTTTTTACAAATAAGCCTTAAAATGCTAGCTGTCAAAATATATATAGATAATATGGTGTAGAGTGAAAATGGCAGGAAAAATACGATTAATCTGTCTAGTGGTAAAAAAAACGAACTTACTTTCCGAACAACCTAATATTTTATCATTATTAACTATTTCATTGGGCTGCAATTTGAAAAAATTGTAGACCTATAAATTTCCACTGTCATCTGTCTGTCTTTCCTTAATCTTGAGAATGGAGTTGAATAGATGAAAGCAGAGACCAGATATGGAAAGGGCAGGAGACCTTTAAGCTTTCCATTGGTCTCGGCTGGATGCAAATTTCCAATGCAAATGGAACGTTGTGTTATTTCATTTCAAAAATTTTTCCTGAAAGGAGTTAGATAGATGACTGGCATGACTCCATTGCTAAAGGAAAGTATGATATACAGGGGCAAGACACTACTAATTTGAAAGTGAAGAGCATATATTTTAAATTAAAAAAAATATGATTAAAAATTGCAGCCTGGCATTGTGACAATGTCACAATAAATATTTATTCATTACTGTTATCTTTTAAGACTATAACATTTTTTAGGGTTTATCATAAGTGGAGACCAATTTTTAGATTTTAGTTTTTTTTTAAATTAAAATACAATACTTAACTATTTTTATAATAAAATTCTTATTCAAATTTACAGCCTATAAATAAATATGCATTTCAGCATCATGCCACCATCAGTTTATGTTTTTAAGGCTGATCTATTATACAAACTAATGTATAATAGTAACAAAATAATTAATAATGGTAAACAGAAGGGTTAGAAGCATGAAATTTAATTTAACATATATTTTAGTAAAACAGATATTTAAATAATCACTACACAGTTTTGTCTTGTGAAAATGTGTGATAAAAATGGAAAATAGAAATAGTCAAAGAATCATCAAAATCATAGAACTGTTTTTATATGATAATTAGAAAATAATGAATGATTAGAAATACAGTAGAGCATTGTTTATCTGAATCAATTGGGGACTGGGGATGTTCGGATAACTTTTTTTCGGATAACCGATTATGTACGAAAAAATACATTAACCTATCCATGTTGAAATTTTTCTCCGTTGTGTGTCGCATTGCGTTGAATTTTCGTCAATGTTAAGCCTAACGTAAATTTTAAAAAATAATAATCATGGCTACTGTATGTAAAAATTATTTTTTTTTGTACAAATAAAATAAATATATTGAAAAATATAAAAACAAAAAAAATTATATTTTGGAAGTTAATCTAGTATCAAAAACATTTGATTCAACATGACACAGTCTGACTGGAACACTTTTGGTTAACCGACACCCTACTGTAATGCAGAAGAAAAATCTAGCTTTGAATGGACTTACAAAATAGCAATTCCTGCAAGTCAGAAAGGCAACATTACTAATCATGCTATTATCTTAAGTAGTGTGTTTGCCAATTTTTTCAATATATGATTCATTTTGATTCAGAAGAAAAAAAATAACAGATATAGAATATTTCTGTTATTTTTTTTCTGTAATCATGTAATATCTGCAATCACATGTTTTCTATGTGTATCATTTTGAAAGGTCCCTTCAGTCCCATTATTTTATAGGATTTCTTTGAGTTTGTTAACTGTAATGTCTGCTTAACACAGGTTTTGGAAAGTATTAATAGGAAGTCTGGGAACATTTTCTGTTGTCTGCAGGTGACATTGTACATGTAATCAATTAATTAATAGTTCCATTACAATGCCAAGACCAGATATTTTATCCCCTAAGTGTAGGTATTGCTATATCTAGGTTTCACTGTATATGTTTAGAAATTTTCTTTTGTCATGTTTCTCTTAAAATTTCAAGTTTCAGTTTGTAGTCATTTATAGTAATTTAAACATATGTTAGAAGGCTAGTTAATTAAAATAAACTTGGTGTTTATTTTTGAACCTAGAAGATATGTAGGTTTCAAAAATAAACCCCAAGTTTATTTTAATGTCAGGATATTCTTGAAACCAGAGTTTATTACCTTGCAACAGGAGATAAGTGAGTAAAAACTGAAAGAAATGTCTTAATTAATTGTATATTTTTGGAACTATTAAATAGTTTATTGATTATTTAGGAGTTACAGCTGTAACATTTGAAACATTTTCATAGTTAACCTCTTAACTCCTGTGCTTTTTGTTGAAAATTTTTGAAATTTTGCAGGGAGGTTTGTGTATTAGAGGATTGATGCTATTAAATTTTGGTGGTTAAAGGTTGACAGGATGGGCCATGTGTTGTATCTTGAGTAGGGTCAACTTACTTACTGATGATTTTACTTGTTAGCATTTTTAATTTTCTATAAAATTCATCCTTATCCTCAAAATTAAGCTTTTTGCCATTTTATAATTATTATTAAAAAGCATTTTTTATGTTTTTAATTATAATTAAAAATATAAAGTTTTTTTTTTAAATAAAATTTTATAACAGATGGGACCACACACAGTTTTAAATGTTGCTGGGTTTTTTCAAATGTGTGTCATTTATCTCATTCACGAACCATGCTTGTGAATATAGATATTAATGAATTAGTCTAAAAATGTAAATAAACTATTAAAAAAAATACAAAAGAAAATTATATTGCAAAACAAAAATTTTTAACTGATTTTTGTACATAATCAAAACAAAAGTTTTATTAATAAAGATTTTAAAAGATTTTCAGACTAGATATAGATTTTAATCAGTATTCCTCTCTATTACAGAATACAAAAATCTTTTTGAAATCAACTGCAATAATAAACAAAACACTGATTTTTTAAAAATAAATTTTTAGGTAGTGACTCATGTTCTCCACCACCGTATAATTCTACTATCAATTTATCAAATGTGGAAACTACTGAAAATGAGGTAATATTTCATTATGAAACATTTTTAATCTACTTTTGTTTATAAAATAATAAATTCATTTACTATTCTTAATATTAAATTAATTATAGTCAAATTAATTATTTATTTAAGTGCATATTGACATAACAACAGAATTTCATGCATTTAAGCACTTGGTCTTTTTTAAAATATTGCTAGTAATGAATTTATTTCATTAAATTTTTAATACTTTACCTATGTCATTAAATTACATTTTCTAATTTTTAATTTTATAAATAATGTATAATATATATTTTAATAATTATTCCTATCATTTCTTTATTAAAAACAATAACAAATATACTTAGGTAAATACATGTATGCATTAGTAGAAATCTGTTAACTTTTCCTCACATGTACATTGTGTTGATGAATCATCAAAGAACTGATCAGTTAGGATATCAATATTTTCCATATCAAAATTGTTTGATTTAAAATAGTCTTTTAAAATCATCAAAGCAGATGCAGCTTCCTTGCAGGTAACATTTTTTACATCAGATTCTTTTATCTCATCAGGCTCATCCATATCTAAAATATCTTTACAATGTTAAACTTCATGGAGCATTTCTTCATTGATGAGTTCATTATAGCAATTCAAATCAGACTATAGAGAACACTTCACACCAGGTGTTAAAAAATTCTCATCCAAATTCTAGTCTTGTATCAGAAAAATTCACTCTGTGAACATTTTTGGGCTCCTTTGGAGTCCTACTTCAGGTGAATGCTGCCTGTTTTTTGATGGAACACAAATTAAAATAAAAATTTGAATGTTCAAAAATATGGAATGATATCAGTATCTGTTGAGAATGAAACACATTTAAAAATGGGAGGTGTTGGACTGTTTGCCTAAACATTACAAAAAATGGAATAAAACGCCATGCATCGGTATGCAGCAGGGCTGTGGAGTCATGTAAAAATCTACCGACTTCGACTTTTCTTTACCATCCGACTCCGACCAGGGGTGGACATGTTACTGAAAGAGACCTGGAAATTCTGATGTTATCACGTGATCTCATAATAAAAGATTCAATAAAATAGAGTTCTAATAAAGATAGAATGTAGAAACTTTTTATTCCAAAGCTAAAAGACTTCTCTAAGTAATATATAAATATGTATTTGATAATTTTTACTTTTCTGGCTGTTATATATAACAGAGGGAAAGTGTAGCGCTCGGTCAAAAAATGACTCTTCCCCAAATTTTTACATTTTTGGACTCAGGACACCTTTAAATTTCGAGATATGCAAAAGATTTGAGGTTTTTTCTATATATGTGGATGTTAGACTGTGTATGTGGGACATGATTTTGTTAACCNAGAGGGAAAGTGTAGCGCTCGGTCAAAAAATGACTCTTCCCCAAATTTTTACATTTTTGGACTCAGGACACCTTTAAATTTCGAGATATGCAAAAGATTTGAGGTTTTTTCTATATATGTGGATGTTAGACTGTGTATGTGGGACATGATTTTGTTAACCCTGTGTGAAGCCTAATAATTTCTATGGTCAGAGTGGTCAGAATCGGAGTCAGATGGTTTAACACAGGAGTTAGTTATTAAGTGTCAAAGTGGTTGAACTAAATCATGTCCCCATATACATTCTAACATCTTAGGCGAGAACATCTTAACGGGTTTTTACTGTACTATCATAAAATGACAAAAAAGCTTACTTTGAGGGTAGAGATGAGTTTTATTATTTTTTTTAATAGTATTAATGCCCCTTTATATGCAAGCTATAGTGCCACATTTTGTTTCTTAAACTTTACCCATTCTGAGATATTGTTTAATGTCTCAGAATGGGTAAATATGCCAACACACACACACACACACACACACACACACACACACACACATGCCATTTTTTCCCCTTTTATTGACTTTTTTGAGGGGTTTGAGAGGTCTCCAAACATGTAGATATGCAAAAAAACTTGGAGGGTCAAATTTGACACGATTCCAATACTTTTCCATTTTATATACATAACAAGTTGGGAAGTGAAAAAGGAGTCAGAGTCGGTGGATTTTTTGACGACTCTGACTTCAGCTAAAACACCAAAACTCCATGACTCCGACTCCACAGCCCTGGTATGCAGTATTGCCATGTGTCAGTATTGTAGTTCTATGGGCATGCACCCAGTGGTGATATTCAGCGGGTTCGCACAGGTTTGGCCTAACCCGTTGTTAACATTTTCAAAGTTTTCCGAACCCGTTGTTAAACACACGTAATATTTTTCAGTGGTTTTGTTTCTTTTAAAAAATATATTAAAACTAGCTTTTGCCCGCGGCTTTGCTTGCGTTAAGAAGTATTATTATTAATTAGGTATAGTTTTTGCGGCTTTACTTTCGTCAAATATAATTCGCTAGAAATATTTAGGTATAGTATGTACTATTAGATACGGCGGCCACTCATCATCCGGTATATGTAACTCAGTGAAAACACAACGATAGCGCGTTTTAAAATACTACTAACGCCATCTATTGTCAACATTTAGAACTAAAAATTATTTTGTTCGTCTTAATTTATTCGTTCCATTAGGTACTGATAGGTTCAAACTAATACATTTACATCCTCCATCATCCCTTATTTTATCCCAATGGGGATTGAATTTATCAAAATTCTATTTAAGCAGACGTCTTCATCATAGTAGCTCCAATCTTTAATTTCAGTTCAATCAATCGAAAATCTAAGAAGATTTATACAAACTTTCATCCCCTATTTTATCCCCTTAGGGGTGGAATTTATCAAAATCCTTTCTTAGGGGATGCCTACGTCATAGTAGCTTTATGCATGCA